AGAAACCCGGTGACGGCGTTACTCATCAGAACCCTTTGTGTGAAACATGAATGCACTTCTTCCTCTCTCATGCAGACGTTTGCGAAGCTGATTTTAGTGGAACTTTAACAGCATGCCGTCTTCCTGTTTTCAAGGACTCAGCACTCACTATTGAACAACTGCTCCATGGTGCCATCAGGGGTCGGGAAATCCACATTTTATTGGCCAACTTCTCTCTCTAAACACGGCCCTGAATGTGGATGTACAAGGACACTGTACCCATACAGACGAGGCACAAATGATTCTCAAAAGAACTCCTTTCAAGCATTTTCCGGTTCAGCTACAGCATTTTTAACCGTTTCCCGCTCGTCTCTGGACATTTAAGGATCTGCCGATGCGATGCGTACCTGCCACTCCTTACAGTCCTCGTGTCCCGCCAGGCGAAACAGGGTCACTGAGTTGTACAGCTGCCAGAACTGTGAAGGAAAAGAAGGGGGAGGCATTATCTTTCAAAACTCTGGTTGCACAAGCAAATGGATCCACATCTTTATCCTATTTTTTATTAACTGAAATAACAAATGTTGATTTAAAATGTGATTTAAAACACCAGAAAACGGTGATAAAGCTGCGATTTAATGTTCAACGTGAGCAGAAAAACTGAATAAAGTTCGACTTACGTGGCCAAAAAAGAGGAAAGGCAACAGAAAAGTGAGTCCTCTCCACATCCACGACTGAAAGCCCTCTGCACAGACACACAGGAGCTGTAACCTTCACCCCACATGACACAGAACACGACACAAAGCCACTGATGTGCTCTCAAGCCCTCGTCTCAACAATCTGACATTCGCGCTGGTTTCTCCGAGGCCTTACTCGAGTTACATCTGTGTCCCAGTGTGCTGATGTTAGCAGCTGTCCTCTCACCTTTACCCTATTTCTTTTTTTTTTTTCTTTCCCCCCAGACACGGCGTTGCAGATGGCTCAAGAGTTCAAACGATCAAAATGACTGCCACCAAAAATAGCGTCCAACTCACCCACTGTGAGGTCCAGCTGATTTCTCTCTCCCAAAGCTCGCAGCCGGTATAAGCAGCCGCTCTGGTAGTAATACTGCAGGAACTGAACAAAGCCTGCGGGACAAAGCGATCGCAAAGATTAGCGGATTTGCGGCACGTCACAGTCGGAGCTGTGAGATCAGCTGGATTCAATTAGTCTCACTTCTGCAGACAGAAAATGTCAAAGAAAAAGTGTTCAATAATATTTAGTTAAAGAAAGTTTAGATTTTATGGGAGGACAGACATCTGCTTAGCACCAGTTAGAATCTATGACACTCCCCCCAGAAGCCTCATTATCTTGGTTTGTACCTGTCATTTTTAAGCATTTTATATATATTATAATATTCTAGATATTTACATACAAGTCGTAAAAATCACAAAAAAGGTCTTTATTTTTATATTAACCCCCCAAAATTTAAAAGAGGCCAAACCTTTAAAAAAACATCCACATCAAAAATTTGTTTTTATTTATTTTACAACATTTGCCCATAAAATTCCACTTTTAAAAAAATTAATATTTATTATTTATTTTGTTTTATTTATTTATTTATTTTTTACAGTATTTAAATTGGCTAAAACATTATTTTATAGATGTTTCCTGCAATTTGTAAGAATATTTAGGAGTATTAGGAATGGATATAAAAACTGTAAAAAAAAAAAAAGAAACAAAAAGTAAATAAATTAACTGATTTCTTCGGTTTTTGTTCAATTTTAGATAATAGAAAGAAAAAAAAAGGTTAAAAAAAGGCCAGATTGAAAAAAAAAAAAAAAAAAGGTTAAAAAAAGGCCAGATTGTACATAAAGTCCACATCAAAAAATTGTATTTTTAGAAACAGTAATTACATTTTTAATTCACATTGTTTTACTGTACTGTAAGCCTAAAATACTAAGTGACCATATTACAGTATAATATATATATTATACTGTAATACAAATATATATATATATATATATATTTTAGTCTAGACTCTTGTTACCAGACTTTTTTTGGTTTTTGGTTTTTTGGTGACCATCTGTCTATTTAAACATTTGACCTTTTACCAAAAAAGCGGCCCGTCACTCAGCGGATGCATCGTGAGTCCACATGTGACGTAGGAAGCGACGGCCGTAACCACTAATGTCTGATAATGACTTCCCTTCTCTGTTCTGGTGAGAAGAACGGCTGCATTATACATACAAAATCATTTCTACAAGGCTACAGATGATGAATCTGCAGTCTGACATCCTTGAACAGCACAAGTAAAAGCCATCCTTTGTAACTTTGGGGTCATTCAGTGTTCAGTTCTTATCAGATGGAGGTTGTTTCACCCTCCTGCATATTTACTTCCTCTTAATCTTAACATGTTTGCGCTTTATTTGATCTACTTCTGTGCTGCCTTCTTTGACACAAAGCGATTGAAGAGGACGTTTCACCGTTACACAACAACCTTTGCATTGCAGCTGCCCTTGACCTGCGCTGGGATCAGTGTGTTATCTCAACATGGTGTCGCAGTACAGCGGCCTCTGACTCGGGAGCATTCGAGGGGAAAATGTTGAGGAGAGCAAGTAACGTTCTGATAAAGGGCACTAGTTAGAGAGAATCCGTCTAAAGCAGAGAACAGACACCATGGTTTAGTGATACTGTCCACTTTTTGTTATTTCTGTCATTAATCGTGTCTCGGTGTCTCACTACTTGGATATTTTAACTTCAAGTTGGCATCAGTTTCCATTTTTTATTGAAAAAACACAATTAAAAAGTGTAATTTTTCTCTTTCCTACTGAAAAGCATCATTCAGATTCAAATTACATCAAAATAAATCAATCAGCTGATGGGAAATTTATGTGCAAGTGTTTTTATGATCTATCAATCGTTTGTCTTGTTATTAAAAAAAGAAAGAAAATGTCAAAAAGTCGATGATTGAAGTCTGCAATTTGCAGATTCACTCTGTGCCACATCACTAAAACCACAAAATAAAATATTTGAATGTTTCCGTGGACTCTTGCAAATTAGTAATTATTTTCTAAATCAGTGGTTCTCAAACTTTTTGAGCCACGACCGACAAGATAACAAAAGTTTGTGTTCATGACCCCCCAATGTGAATTTCTAATATATCATGAATAATAACTTTGTTGTTTGTGCATTAATGGGTTAAAAATGAATGTGTTAATTCCACAGATGAATCTCTTTACATTGACACGTTAAGTTGCTTTTGAATGAATTGAATTTATTTTGAACAAATGAAAGCGGAAAGAAAATATAAAAACAAAACAAAATAATTTTAAAAAGAGCAAAAAAGAATAATGAGTGGGAAGAAGTATACACTTTTAATTTTGACAGCCCGAATCCAAATTTATTTGATAAATGTAGGCTTTATTTTCTTTTCTTTTTACAATGATCTGGCGACCACCTGAAATTGTCTTGGGACCCCCATGGGGGTCCTGAGCCCCAGTTTGAGAACCACTGCTCTAAATAGCATTCTTTAGTAAATCTTACTCAGTAGTAATAATCATTTGTAAGTTGCAGCTCTGTATCCAGGAAGTCATCTGGCTCTTTTGGGTTTTCTATTTGTATTTTCATTTTTCCTCCATAAGAAACTGATCTTGCAAGTTGTTCTGCTGTTATGTCTTGTCTTTTTTTTTGCATTTATTATTAACTTTATTTGTCTTTGCAAGTTGACTTTTATCTTGTTTTCTGGCTTATATTTTTTCTCCCCCACATACTGCTGCCTGTCTTACAACATGCTACACACTTTAACACAGTTATTTCAAAATATGTTCCATAAATCATTTGACTATATTAGTAAATGTAATAAATGTACAAAGACCATGTGAACACTTCTGCTCTATCTTTCTTCCACAGTTTTCTGTCTGCAACTGGTGATAACACAAGTGTTCGTCAATATTTGTTTACCAGACAGACACCACACGGTCTCAAAACTCCAAAGAAAAAAAAAAGAAGTGAAAAGCTGCCTTTGCTACACAATAAAACAGAGAAGGTGTTCTTTGTTGAAACATAAAGTCAAAGGAGAAAGTTGCTGCTGCTGCTTTTTGAAGACGAACCTCCTGCTGGTGTAACCGCTGTGCTAAAAAATATATTTTTTTAACTGACAGAGTGTCTCCTCAGACATTCTAACTACAAACTCCAGTCCTCACGTACGCAGAATCCAAACCTCAGAGAACCTACGCACATACATGAATGTTAGAAGAGTAAACTGATGTGTAGCTCCTACTTTGATAGATGGAGAAAGCGAGGAACTGGCTCCTGAACATCTGGTACATGGGTCCCTCTGGCCTGTGAAAAGAAAAAACTAATTAGTCGATCATGAAGCCTTTTTTTTTATTTTTGGCTTAGCAGTCGCAACAGTAGGTTGAATCAATGTGACACTATGAAATCACAGATCTCACCAGGTCAGCATGACACCTGAGAGGAAGGTGGACACATAATGGTGAGACACCCACCAGCCTTTGATCCTGAAAAACACGAGCAGAACAAGAGAAGACATGAAGACAAGAAACACTGGAGCATTTCCAAAATACAAATTATACATCTAGATTGAATTTAGAAATCATTTGGAACACGTTTCCAACAAACCTGGAGCCATTGCTCATGAGGATGCTTTCCCTTATGGTCAGTGTGCAGTAGTACCACACCAGCAAAAAGTTGAAGATTTCATCAGTGACTCTAAACGAACCGTAAAGAATGAATCACTATTTAATAAATCCCACCAACAATAAAAACCTTCAGGGTTTTCAACGTGATCTCACCGACAGTTGAGAAAGAAGAGGCAGGTTATTGCTCCGAACATCAGGATTATTGTCATATAAAGCTTGAACTTCTCGTACTCGTCCTTGTAGGCAAACCTGCGGATGAACAGAGGAAGGAGATGAGAGAGGGACGAGCTCCGATTATCAGCCGTCCTGAAGGCGAAGCGCTTTACATACTTTGCCTGGTTGCTGAGAAGCGTTACGTTCACGTTGCCCAGGACCAAATTCAAGTAGAGCCTGCAAACAAAACAAGCAAATAAACTTGCAATGCAGATTTTATTCTTCTTTTATCACCTTCAATGATCCGACATGTTTGTCATGTATAACAAGGTCCAGCCTGTTGGATGTTGAGCTTATTAATCCGTACTTACCCATTTTTCTTTGGCAAATATGCTTCCATATCAAAGAAGACATTTTCTTTATCTTTGATTTGTGTTTTGATGTCGGTTATTAGTTCCAACTCCTTCTCTTCACATGCTTGTGCACACCTGTAAATAAAAAGCAGAGCGTCTATGAGTAGAGGAGGAGAGCATCACATACAGGAGAATATCTGTCACTATTTGGGACAGACAATGAAGTCTATCTATCTATCTATCTATCTATCTATCTATCTATCTATCTATCTATCTATCGTATATTTCTTTATATAGAAAAAGGATCTTAGAGTGACAGAAATAAGAAAAATTCAGTCACTGCACATAACTGCTGGTAGACTGTCCTGCATTTAACCAAAATCAGTGAATGCACAAGAAAACACATTTAGACATCCTGTTTAGCTGTAGAACTCGTCATTTCTGCAAGAGATCGTTTCATGCCTTCTCTTCTCTTCCTCTCTTCTGCCTTCTCTCCAGGACCTGCCCACCTCCAGGACTCTGAGGCGTGCAGGTCAGATTGTGGCTGACCCCTCCCACCCTGGACACAAACTCTTCCAATCACTCCCCTCTGGCAGGAGGCTTCGGTCCAACAGGACCAGAACCTCACGCCACAAGAACAGTTTCTTTCCGTCTGCCACCAGCCTCATGAACAATGCCCAGGACCCCGCACTGACCCAATTACAGCACTATTACAGTTATTTTTAGTCACTTTATTTGAATGTATATTTATTGTTTACTGTATTGTTGTTTTGTTGCACCCACCCACCAGAATAAATTCCTCGTATTGTGAGATCTATACCTGGCAATACATCTGATTCATTAACCGCCCGCTGTACTCACTTGGACAAGCTGTGCCTCAGGTCTTTCAGGCATTTTCTTTGTTTACTGATGGCGCTGCTGCATGTCGTCTGAAGATTGGTGAGCTCCTCTAACTTCTGTCTGTATATTTTGTGAGTTTCCTGCAGATCACACGAAGAAACGTTGGGTTAGAAACATCTGGTGGTTTTCTGTAACCGTCTAAAAGTTTCCTGTATCACATGCATATTAAAAGACACTTACAGTAGAGTTTACAACCAATAAATAAATGAGCGTTCACTGAATTTATCCACATTCTCCTCAAAACACTTCTTTGAAAGAGTGAAAACGTATCCTAGTCTCACCCAAACCTTTGCCAAGCTCAAGAAAAAAAATTCTCAATGGACAACAGTGGAACGCTCTTGGCAAACAGAGTCTCTTTTCAGCAGAGATGGAAATGCTCCATGGCGTGAAATCTTGTTTGACCCTTCTGTCTGAACACAAACAGCCCATGACATCACATTATGTGGTGAAATAAATATTGCACTTTACTTGCATGTCTGCTGGTAGAACGGACCGAGCTGTACTTTTTCTATCGTCTCTGGTTTATAAACCTGGACTGTGGAGCTTTGGAATCGATAATCCTGCGGTCTGAGGTTAGAGACTTGTTACCATCCAACCCCAAAAGGATTTGCACACCCATGACAGCCTGTTATTTCGTAGAAACCCACATCTAGAATGTCTGTAAAGATTCTCAGTCATCCAGGTCATGGTGATTCTGGTAGATTAATCGTAGCAACTGGGCTTGTTTGAGTTCCTTGAAGACGTTTCACCTCTCATCCAAGAGGCTTCATCAGTTCTGACTGACTAGTTAGTGGCTTCTTTAGGATATAAGTATCTGGATCTCCCAACTAGTCTGTCAGAACTGATGAAGCCTCTTGGATGAGAGGTGAAACGTCTTCAAGGAACTCAAAAAAGTCCAGTTGCTATAATTAAACTACCAGAATAACCACAACTAGAATCCAGAAAGATCTTGACGGGACCATGTGGTGCAACTCTAGGAACACGGGGGAAAGGTTAGCGGGTTTTTTTTGCATGATAAATTGATTCTAGCAGGAAGACACGACCTGAACAAAGACTGTGTTTGTTTTGTCATCTTAAATGTAGGCCTGCTTAAAATAGGGTTTGATTTAAATGTACACAGAGTGCACCGTGTTGAAAGTACAAACTGCACTATAAATGGTTCGTAGACGCCCCTCTCCCCTGAACTAGACAGAGAAATGTGTGATGGAGGTTATGAAGTCAGTATCTGGTGGATTACTAATGTGTTGTTAATCAAAGCTAGCAGCATCCTGAAAGAGATTCTCAGCTCTCAAAGGGAAACAGAAAGCACTAATCACTGTGTTCCCAAGGTATACCGTGTATCACATGACAGTTTTCTCACCATCAGTAACAACAAAGTCCACATGATCAAGTTTCTGCAAACCCACAAACCCCAAACATGAGCTTTTACACCTGATATGCCACAAAGAATGACAAATCAGGAGCTGCATGCAACCGACCACGAGCAGGAGACGGTTTCAGCTCAGGTGTAAGCTTCATTTGAGAAAATCCCTGGACGGATGACGATAACCTTCATCATCATCCTCATCACCCTTCCCTGTGGAGCAGCTCCAGATTTTCCAATTCTGATGGCACCATCACAGATCCAGCTATCTAAGAGCGGCTGCACGGGCAGAAGAGTCACCTGATCACACTCCATAAGATGCTTTATGTGTCCCAACGTGAATCCCATATGTTGTTTTAAGTTAGCCAACTGTAGCTAACCTGAGCTAGCGTGACAACTTAAAGGATGGATGGTGGTGGTGGTGATGTATTGACCAACTGCTAAATGTTGCAGCCAGGCAAAGAAACACTGACGAAAAGCACCTTTGCGACCTTTGCTTAACTTTGGAAGCAGTTGCTCAACGTTGATCAATCGCACCATATTGCACTGAGGGGGTTAGCTAAGGTACTGTAGCTGCTCATTAGCCGCAAAACACAATGAAGACACGCAACCTGCTGCTGCTAACGTTAGCGGGCTGCTACACACGGATGTTACAGTGGAGTCGAGGATGATAGAAAAAACAAAACCCTGCGAAACATATCCCCACACCCTCAAGTAATGCTACAAACAGTGCAGTTTCTGGCTCAGTGTTGCGTTGAGCAGAGAATGAATGGCGAACGTGAAAGAGCCAGACTAACTATCGTAGCCACTATCTGCTGTCAGTGCCATCCGCGACACGCTACTGCCAGCAAACCTACCGCGGACGCTGCTAAAGAGTTCTCTGTCACCTGTAATTGTTGATATTCCTCGTCAATTTCCTCCCACTCCGTCTGAAACTTCGGTTTGGACATGGTGGTCCGGCAGCTGATGGGTAGAAGAGGAACGCTTCCACACGGCTTCAGCCCGAGTGTCTCCTCTCACAGGCTCGCTCCGTCCACTCAGGCGCTTTTTAACTGTGCTGCACGGCGCATGCGCACACCGTAAACCCGCTGTGAAGACAAACGTCGTTTGAACCGGAGTTGAACCTGCTGCAAGTAAACAAAAACCCACTGCAAATGAGTGCAAGGGCTCAGGTATCAGCGAGGGCTTTAAAATAAATTTACTTCTGATTTTTAAATCGACTCCCGGACAAAATGTATGCGTCACCAATCACAGGTCGCATTGCTGTTGCTAGGATACAACAGATAAACATAAACTTGCTCTCTTGTTGCTGCAGTAATTCATCCGCTTGGACACATTGCTCCGGTAAAAAATGTTTTATTTTGAGTGAGGATTTGATATTTTGTTTTGTTCTACGTTAGCTAACCTGGGAATCTTAATTAGATAGCTTAGTTGGGCTTGTAGCTGACTCAGTAATTCAAACATTTGCATCAAAAATTAGACATGCTCCAATGATATTAGTTAGACATGAGGAAAAGGTGATGTTTTAATTCGAATTTTGATATTTCAAATGCTGTACATACACTTGCTTGCAATATATATATAACGTACTATTTATATGTGCACACATTCCTTTACATTTGACCTCCACTGAACTAAGATCATTGTACAGTTTCTACCCTTTTGTAATTAGTTTGACAACTAGGACTCGGTTATTTCTCATATCTGTTGCATTTTTATGCACCACATTGCTTGCTAAAGTCATTAGACCAGAATCTCTCAGTAGTCCAAACATCTAGTAGGTCTCCAAAACTTTGGAGCTGCATTTCCTCCCCCCTTGATTTTATAATCCTAATTAAATATGTGTTCTTCATGCTTGCTTTGCTAGTTTAGAACCAACAATTCCAAGTTTTATCTGGGTGCAAAGTTCACATGACAGCCTTTGTGATTTATCATATGATGATTACTTTTGTTGTTGTGTTTTTTTTTTTTATGATTTATGGTTTTAATTGATTTACTGTAATTAGTTTCAGTGGTTTTACGAGTTGAGGTTGTAACTGATTTATTAGTTTTTAATTTGCTTTAATGGTTCTATTTCTCTTGTACAGCATTTTGGTCTGCTGTGTTTAAATTTGTAATATAAATAAACCGACCTGACTTGGTAATATTATTGGGAAATAGACTAACTTTTACAGCTTCATAGGTCAATCATATTTATTTTTTATTTTTATAGTGTTTACATCAACCTACCTCCAGCCATGCCATATATTAAAACATCTAAGAAAAGCCCTCCAGTCTCCACATTGTTAGATATTAAGTCTCAGAAATGTGGACTGCGGCACACAGTTTACTCAGTCAGTGGAAATGAGTACACTGGGGAGTGGCAGAACAACAAGAAGCACGGTGAGATACTTGATTTTAGCTTCCACTTAAGTACTGAGATATTTGTGAATGCCTCTTCATGAATCATAACATACATTTGTTGCGTAACAGCTTAAATGTTTGCTTATAATCTTTTTTTTCAAGGCAAAGGGATTCAGATTTGGAAGAATTCTGGTTCCATTTATGACGGAGAGTGGAAATTTGGAAAACGTGATGGACATGGCACCTACAGTGTGCTACTCCCAAAATCAAAGGCGTATGCAAGGAAGTACTGTGGTGGATGGAAAAATGGAAAGAAGCATGTACGTATTTGATATGATGTTTAACATTCACGCTGCAACAGGTGTGTGTAGCATCAGTGATGTGTGCTTCTGTCTTCACAGGGGTATGGTGAGTACTTTTACAACAACTCTTCAGTTTACGAGGGCGAGTGGAGTGACGACCAACGCAGCGGCTGGGGAAGGATGTACTATGAGAACGGAGACGTCTATGAGGGAGAGTGGATGAAGGATAGCAATCACGGACAAGGAGTTTTACGATTTTGTAAGAAAATTTTGGTTTACATTTAAATAAGAATAATCAAAAAAAAGGGGTTATGGCTTGAATGCCCTGACATAGTCTGATTTTCAACTTGTGTTATAGCAAATGGTAACTGGTATGAAGGAACCTGGCAAGACGGCAAGAAGAACGGCAACGGAAAGCTCTACTATTCCGACAAAGGCCAGCTTTATGTAGGCTTTTGGGTGGATGGAGTAGCAAAATGTGGGACCCTAACTGACTTTGGGAGGGATGAAGCACCAACACCTGCGAAGTATCTGATCCCAAAGGTACAACAAAGCCACAGACTTCAACAGCCATGCAGCTAATTAAACTACTTAATTTTTGCACATAACACAATCAAATAAGCATGGACAACAAATATTGTGCATTAAAACAAGTACCTGTCTTCTTTTTTCAAGCTACATCTGGTGGACATGGAGTTGGTTTTAAGGGACGCCAAATCAGCCTTGATAGCCAACGAGAAGCAAGTTTCCACTCCAGCACATGATAAGGAGTAAATAAAAGAAAAGCACATAACGATATTCAGAATGTTTCATCTTGATAATATTTTCCACTCTAATTGTTTGTCCGTTTTAGAGGAGCAAACCAAATCCTGTGTTTCTAGTGATTAAATTTAACACAGCAACTGTTGTGATGATCCAAACTGTGTACATGAAGAAAAACACCTAATTACACCTCTATAACGGAAACCATTAGATTACATCCATTTGATGCCCACCTGGACTCCTACCTCCTCCAATACTGACAATTAACTCAGATAGATCCGTTTCTCTAAATTGTTGAGAACAAAACACCAGCTAAATGTGAATAAACATGACTGACTGAAAAGCTCTCCAGGGCCACTCTAAGAATGAAAGATGAAAGCAACATGCTAATTCAGGAGACAAGTGAAGTGCTCAGTGCTCTTACAAAATAAAGCATCGAGGAACACGAGTTCTAAATATTAATAGGTACTCCACAGAGGTCAAACTGTGGTGATAAAGCAAGTGTAAAGAATCAGATTCAAATGAAACTTAAGTATAAAGCCTTTATACAGCTTAAAGATAGTGAAAAAGGTGTGAAGTAACTCTGAGAGTTGCATTTGCAAATCTTGTCTGTTAATGACTGCATGTATGTTGCTTATGTGACATCCATCCATCCATTATCTATACACCCCTTAATACTCACGAGGGTCGCAAGAGGGCTGGAGCCTATCCCAGCTGACTCAGGGCGAAGGCAGAGGACACCCTGGACAGACAACCAAGCACACTCACATTCACACCTACGGACAATTTAGAACAGGGGTGTCCAATCCTGGTCCTCGAGGGTCACAATCCTGCATGTTTTAGATGCTTCCCTCTTCCAACACACCTGATTCAAATGATCAGCTCATCATTAAGCTCTGCAGAGGCCTGGTAACGATCCTGATCATTTGAATCAGGTATGTTGGAAGAGAGAAACATCTAAAACATGCAGGTTTGTGGCCCTCGAGGACCAGGATTGGACACCCCTGATTTAGAATCACCAATTATCCTCAACATGTTTTTTGGACCTTGGGGGAGGGAACCTGGAGAGAACCCATGCTGCATGCTGCACATGCAAACTCCACACAGAAAGTTCCCTGGTTTTCTCACCGGGACGCGAACTGGCGACCGTCTTGCTGTGAGGCAACAGTGCTAACCACTGCCCCACCTTGCAGCCCTGCACATGTAACATTAGAAATCTATTTTCAAATAATGTATCCCAGTCACTTTCTGCACTCTTAATCTTTGAATGTCACTTGGTAAAAAAATGTTTATTTTTTTTAACGTCACAGCCTCTGCTACAGATGTCAGCAAATATACGCTAATAATACTGTAGTTTAGGCAAGTGATTAGTCAGTCAGCGCAACCAGAATGCATTCAGAATGCAAATGGTGAACAGTACAATAGGTCATGTAAATACGGAGCAAAGAGTTACATACGTGTGGTTCACAAAACACAACTATGTAATATACACAAACGAATGTGAGCCTTCACTGACAAACTGGTAAATAAAAGCAGCAGGCAACAGACAGGACGCCAAGTTACTCTTCGGATCTTTCTGCCATAATGTAGACATAAATCAAGCAACTATTACACTTAAGACTTTATGATTTCCAGCTACATGCATTATGGCAGATTTGTGAGTTCACAGTTGAAACAAATGTGTCTTCTAAAAATAAACTTCCACACAAAAGTAAATGTCACAACAAAGGGTGAGACATATCTTCATTCCCGTAAAAAAAAAAAAAAAACAAGAAGTCAACACTTGGGCCTCTCCCTTGGACAAATACCCACGGAGTCAAAGTTCCACCACAGATGTGCGTCCGCTGTACATGTCTATGGGAAATGTGAGCTCGGCGACTGCAAAATGGAAGATTCTCCTCTGTTGTCGAGTTCATTTTGAAGTCTGGTGAGGTTAGACAGCTCCTCCAGCTCCTGAAACTGTCTGTCAGTCTTGTGGCTCACCAACGAGCGGTAGAAATGCACAGCGAAGACGATGAAGACTAAACCAAAGGGGACCATGATGGAGGTTGAGGTAATAGCAGCAGCCACGCCAGAGGAAACCGTATTATTGCTGGATTTGTTGGGCTTCACGGGCAAAAATTTGACCCAGCAGAGTAGAACCACCTCGGCGAGGAAGAGCAAAGTACCAATAACTGTGGAAAAAGCCCAGGCCAGTTCAATGTGCCGGTGCATCCTCTCGTGCGGGGACTCCTTGACAGAGTTGAGGTTGTGGACGTTGCTCACGGCTTCTATGTTGGGCAGGATGCAGGTGCTGACCATCAGAGCGAACAGGTGGACGGCCACCAGCACGGTGGTGCAGGCACTGAAGGCAATGAGGAGGGCAGGTGGGTAAGGGTAGCTGTTGTCCAGCTGCACTTCAACCATGGCCACCTGAGGAGAAGAAGGGAACAGGAAGAAAACAGGAACTTTAGGCACACATATGTCAGCGTTGTCATGTGACTGATTCATCGACGGCAGGATGTTGAGGGGACCGTGTTACCATGGCAAATCCAGAGAGCAGTGCTGAGGTCCGGCTGGAAGCCTTCAGTTTAGCCCGACTCAGGTACAGCTTCCTCCAGGAGAGTGCTTGCAGTGAATGCTCGCTCAGACTCATGTTGCGCTAATTATCACTCACACACACACACAAAAAAAAGACGCCAAACAAGTGGAGGAGCCGCGCAGACGTGGTTGTTACTGTAGCGGGGAAAGACAGAAGACAGCGTCCAACGGCGTACACTTACAAAGCATTTAATCTCGCCAGCTGACGGAACTGCGGAAGCTATTTTTTCACCAGCTGCCTTCAGCGTGCTGCACCTTACATTACCCAGAAGCCCGCGCGGTTTGAGGGCAACATCCGTTAGTAAACTAAGCTCCGTGAAGCGGGTACAGCTCACCCGCGTAGTTCACACTGATGTGACTAAGTAGGTAGAAATGCTAAAAGAGCAGTTTCAAAAAATTAAACTACTCCACGTAATGCTCTTCCAACAAATTAAAAGTATTGTTTTCTAAATTTTAAAATGAATTAAAGTGTGTTTAAAAGCTGTTTTTTTCAAATTGTGGAAAAGCTAAAATTAAATATGTGCAAAAAGTGGTTATCATTTTTTATTTTATTTTATTTTTTTTAGTAGTTTCTCCCACTAACAAACAGCGACTCCTCCGCTGTGATTAATGTTAGGGGTGTGTAATGAAAGCGGAGCGCTGACATGCCGTGACGTTGTCCAACAATGTTTTGGTTCCTGGCGGTGACGTAATACACAAAAACATGGTTCCCTTGTTTTGAACCTGTAAAGCGTGCTAAGTGCTTCTTCTTGAACTCCGCAGCGCCTCCGCCGAGATGCTCCTCCGACCCTGAGCCACCGGGGGGAAAAAACGTTCACGGGAGACGATGGCTCAGGCCGCGGAGACGTGCGCCGAGTCCGGACGCAGGCTGGTGTGTAGCTTACCATCCGCCGTGGTAACGTTAGCTTGCGAGGGCGACACTGGCAGCGAGCTAATTAGTTAGCTAAGCTAACGTTTGTAAACGTTGGGGAAGGAATTTGTCAAGTCAGTGAAGCTGCTCAAGTTTGAGGCGACGAGGGAGAACGGTAGATATTTTTAGTTTTTTGTGACTACTTTTAGCAGTTCAGGGAAGCGTGAAAAGCAAGACAAATTAATATCAAGATGAGAGAAAATCGGACAAGCAGTTTTTGCAATTATAGAGTGTCACACAACATAACTACCTTTTTCCCAGTGGAAGCGCAGTTTAACGGTTATTTGTATCCAACGCCAGATTTAAAGGAGAAAAAACAATAAATGCTGCCACTGTAGTAAGTGTTACTATCAAAAAAAACGTGCCCCAGTGTGAAAGTTAGGCATGAAATTATTCCTCCGACTGTGGGTGTGTGCGTGGGGAGAGAAAGGGGGCCTTTGTGACAGGGGAAAGAAGAAGAGTTTGCTTTCCACGCGTGTTGCAGTTTTGTCATGTAAATCGTATGGTTTTCAATGGCAGCGCTCCATCTGCCGGAGGATGTACGACGAAAACGAGGATTTGTCAGATGTGGAGGAAATTACAAACATCAGAGGTTTCAGCGTGGAGGAGAAGCTCGTCAGTGACAGCTACGGAGCAGACTTTGTCCACTCGATGGAGGGAAAAGGTGAAGGAGCACAAGTCACATGCATGCTCGGGTGTTTATCTGTTGCAGTTACTCTATTGTTTTTGCAAGGAAATAAATGCACTTTTTTTTTATTGTTGTAAATGTGCTCCCCTGTGAATGCTTTGCAGACTTCACCTATGAATACGTGCAAAGGGAGGCTCTCAGGATCCCACTCATTTTTAAAGAGACAGATGAATTAGGGATCAGGTGAGGAGTCATTCCTGTGTGCAATCACTGATGATAATCTGCTCATGCTGGTGATTGAATCCACTGTTTTGCAACTGTTTTTGTAATATATTAATCGAATGACATGCACATCTCTCTGACGTTTACACAGAATGCCGGATCCAGAGTTTACAGTCAGCGAAATTAAAGGATTAGTTGGTAAGTGCACTCTAACGCAGTTGTAATTACGGAAACTGATTTGTTCAACTTGTCCTAAACATATCTGTAGAATCCTAGATTAAAGAATAAGAGCCGGGCTGACGACTTTTGGGAAATAATTTATGGTCATGCCAGACAAAAAAATAAAAATAATCTCTGCATTAGTGACAGTGTGAAAGGACGAGGTGCCACCACAAGTGTCCTTAAAGTGTCATAAAGTCGATCCACAGAAATACTGTAAAGATTTCTAAACTGCCTGAACTATGACTGAACAGGAAGTGTGGTTTGGATAATAAATTAATAAAGTATCATCACATCAGTCCTGGAAGAGAGTTTCTAATTTGAAAAAAGCAGTTTTCTTTGTAAATTATTATCTAGTAGATAAACAACTGAACATGAAAACTACTTTTATTGTCAAGAAATGGACATTAAAATATTTATAGAGTCAGAAAGTTTTAGTTTCTGTAAATTATATATCTTATAATCACAATGGCGTTATTGTTTTCTCTGTTTTTCATTTTTAGTATTGCACACACATGCCCATTGCTCTATCTATTGTTTGCTTGTCTCTCTTTTGTCTGACTCTGTGGACTGTCTTCGCTCTGTAGATGTGCACATGTCCACTTTCTCACAGTGTTCAGAGCGTTTTCTCTGTTGTCAGTTTAAAACAATATACGGTTTCATCTGTTATCTTTTATTACTGTTATGTTAAAAGCCAGATCAGATAATCTGCCTTTTACGATTGTTTTCTAATCTACCCAAACACAATTGTGTCAAGTGAAGCATGAAAAGCATGAAAGGCATGAACATGTTCAGAGTGTAGTTGCGCCATCTAGTGGGGAATATTGTGAATAACATGTGTATAAATAAATGTACATTTAAGTGCATGGGAGTAACTTGTGCAGTTTCTCATGATAAAATCTGCCACTCAGCATGTCAACAAATCCAAATTTGCTGCATATAAATTTGACAAATTTTATACCAATTTACAAACCACTTGAGTTGTAAATCAATGACAGTAGAAGCGCTTGTAAATGTTTATCTCCTGTATCCTGGTTATGTCCTGCAGGCAGTCGCCGGTCTGTGGATGTTATGGACGTGAGCACTCAGAAAGGCACCGAAATGAGCATGGCGCAGTTTGTCCGTTATTACGAGACGCCAGAGGAAGAGCGAGACAAACTCTTTAATGTCATCAGCTTAGAGTTCAGCCACACTAAGCTGGAGAACCTCATCAAGCGGCCCACAGTGGTAACATTACGTCTGCTTTATGATATTATGAAAGGCTTAATAGAGGTCACAAATTTAGTGTCATGTTCAGAGAGGGGATGACTCACAACGCCGGGACTGATTTTTTAATTGCCTTTGCAGGTGGATCAAGTGGACTGGGTGGACAACATGTGGCCTCCTGATCTGAAGCACAGTCAAGTAGAAGCCACCAACGTGATTTCAGAGATGAAGTACCCGAAAGTGCAAAGGTATGACTTTGCTTTTGTTGTGTGTTTTTATGAAGTTCTCTCTGGTGCTGTATATTAGTCTGTAAAAAAATAAAAAAATGTAGAGAAAGAATATAGAAACTGGATAAAATGTCAGCCTCCTTGTCTGTAAATAATACTTGTGCTCCCATCTGAATGTCTCATCTATCGCTCCATCACAGTAGAGCGCTGCATACTGTCACCTCCTGTACGTGCTCCTGATTGTTGCTAGGCAGCAGAGTTTTTTTTTCCACAGAGGAGGATGGTTTATAACAGCTGTGGTCTGACTGCACAGGCACCTCTAAGCCAATCAGCTGAAGAAGAATCCAAATGAATCAAAACCAATGGTGCCTTTTTTTTTCCTTTTTCCTTTCTTTCCTTTTTTTCTGTTGTCCATATTTTCTGACATTTCACAGAGACTCTAATAACCTCCCATATTCCTCACAGAAGGTTTGGTGGTTACTGATAGTCAGGGCTGAGTTGCACAGAAAGAAACAGCTAAATATCAGCTTCACTGAAATCTGCTAACAACTCATTTCTGCCATCGTTTCAGGCAAACCAACTGTTTCAATTTCACTGTGAGCTGGTTGGTGCAGACACAATGCAGAGCCCTGTCTGTTTTTATTAATAAATATTACACTGCTTCCATGAATTCACTGCAGGAGGAGCACACAGATCTCTCCAGGTTTACTGTAGAAAACACAAAAAATTACTACCAGCCACAGTGCTTCCTTACATAATCCAGTGCCGTATTTCAGACTCTGTTTGCATTTAATTATTTTATGTATTTGTAGAGATGGAAAAAAAAAGTATTAATAATGTATTTTACAGCTTTGTTTATATCCAGAGTAAACCTTCGCCTCTTTGACATGTTCTAAATATTTACATTATATTAATTTTGCAATAAGTTGAGCCTTAAGTCATCTGCCACAATAGAAATGATTATAGAGCTGAAATGATTTGTTTATGAAGCAATTGTTTGACTCGTATACATTCATTTGATAAGCTGCCTAAATCGTTTTCTAAAGCAAAAATGCCACAAAGGCAAAATGAAAACATCACTTTGGGTTCTAGGGAGCGGTGGTGGGCTTTTTTCATGATTCTCTTACTGCAGATGAATAGATGCACAGAACAAACTGGTGTTTCTGTGGTTTGTTATTTTCTCTCATGTAAGCAAACCTACTGAT